TGACAGCTGCTATGCCCACCTTCAACAGATTTGTTTAAGCTTTGTCCATTCCTTGTAGAGATTACATACACGTGTATATAACAGTTAGAAAGAGCTCATTCTACAGTATAAAATAACAGTGGTTATTTTGAATTTGGTACCAACTGTTCGTCACAGAGTACATGAAATTGACTACAGCATTGTTGGCTGCTTGATCAGCTATAGCACTTACGGTTGTTTCTTACCTAAATATGTTAGTTAGAGATACAGTTTGAATTGTATTTAGGTCTTACTATTATATTTTAGTTACCTTTTTTGACGACATATAGGATGCACTTATTTCCCAAAATTTTGGCTCAAAAAATCGCCCTGCATCTAATATGCGAAGTTGAGACCTTCCACAGGCTAATCTTCTTCCTAACGCTCATTATCCTAGTATACGATCAGTACAGCATTCCAACTACAAAATAGGAAATTTGCATAGGCCAGATGCAGTCGAATTTTCAGCTTCCTGTTAAAGGATGGAAGGTCTATCTCTTAAAAGTGCGAACGCTTGTCCCTTCAGAAACAAGGTTTCGTCACATCGTTTTATCTTTACTGTGAAACTTGATATAGCGACCAACTTGTGTCAACAACTCGAAAAATGCACGGCCAATCAGTGAGCGAAGATAGAGATAGAGGCAAATTACAAGCAAACATGACCTCACACCCACAGGAAGACTGAAGCGGCCCACCATTGCCCAAGTGTGTGAGTGGGTGAAGAAATCTTGGGATGACGTTAGGCCTAAAATCATTGTGAAGTCTTTTAAGAAGTGTGGCATTAGCAATGCTCTTGATGGCACAGAAGATAATGTGTTATTTGAAGTCAGTGATTCCAGCAGTAGTGACGAAGATGAAGATTTTTCTGGTTTTGAAGATGAAGATTTTTCTGGTTTTGAAGATGAAGAATTTTCTGGTTATGAAGATGATTAAAGTGTATCCCCATTTTCTTACTGTGTTTTAGTTTATGTTCAAGTGTTTTCTGCTTGTGTAATGTGCTGTTAGATTACTTTCACCAATATATGCTTAAATACAATAAAAACTTTTTTTCCTGAATCTGACCTGCTGAAATGGGGGTGCGTCTTATATACCCATGCGTCCTATATGCCATCAAATATGGTAATTATGAATTAATTATGTTTTAAAAGGCATGATTAAAAGGTTTAGATATTTTTTTAAATATACATCATACTTTGTGTCCATTCTCAAGGCTTATATTATGTGCTGAATGAAAATTTTGCCGAAGGGTTGTGCATGTTTTCCAAAGAAACTGTAATGTGCCTCCAAGGCACCATTGACTTGTTTTGAGGTGAATAATAAGTTGTAAAAGACAAAAAAGGAAAATAAAACATTAAAAAGTGTACTATGTGTGAAAATGAAAAAAGACGAAATTATGAATTTAACAAAAGGAATCTAAAGATATTCTACAAAACATTAAAAGATAGAAATTGTTTTCTATTTCCTAATTTTAATTATTTCATTGCATTATATGTTGATAATAACAGCTAGAGTTAGTGATATGGTAGAGAAAATGAAAATAAAATGTAAGAATTTACCTTAAAAACACTTTTGATATCCTTTTTGGAGGTTCTAGAGATTATGTAAAATAAATATAAAAACTATAAGACAAAAAAGTATTTCTATACTTAAAATGAAATGACTTTGCACTTGATTTGTTAATAATTTGAATACGAGTAACTACAATAGAAAAGTAACATATTTTGCACTTGATTTGTTAATAACTTGAATACGAGTAACTACAATAGAAAAGTAACATATTATCAGTAAAAACACTTAATTATAAAACCATCATTATTTGTGTACAAGATACTTATGATCTTTAATGAAATCTTACCAGTTTTTGAGAGGATATATTAAGAAATCTCAGTTACCAATTGTATTGTTGTACAAGTGAAATTCGCATCTCGATTTCTGCAAATTGCATAAGCCTGCCATGAAAGGGTTAATGTCTTTACTTAAATTAAAATCATTGCTGTTCATAATTGGTATATCTTGAAAGCAAGTCCTAATATCACCAGCCAGTTAAGGATCATGGTTATGGGTTACAATTTGAAATCGTAATTTAACGTTTCACTACAGTTTTGTTTGCTTAGAATAATTATAAAGCATATCTTGTTATCTCAAAACCTCTAGTTGTGTGGCATGCTTCAATCAAGAAATGAAAATCACGTTGGTAATTTTTGGCTCTGCACAAAAATTAAAACCTTAAATACAACTTTTATATTGACATCCTAATAATTAGTTTAAAAAATTTTAAAGGTGAATACTCTAAACCATTTATTCCTGACCTTTTTCCAACTGAGGACCAGCTAGTCACAATTCATAAATTTCACATACCACTTTGTATAATATTAACTTTTTTTAACCCTAGAATGCCAGCATGGGGTCACTCTGATCCCATACTACCTAGTGTTAATGATTGAAATGATTGCTGGCATTATAGTGTTAAACAGCTTTTAAAAAATTAAAACAATATACTTAAGCAGCTTTATTTTGAAACATTTTTTTAAAATCATCTTGTAGACCAGCTGAAATTTGTGGACTTAGCTCCAGTACAGACTGGCAGTTGGGACCCACTACTTTAAATCTTACTTTTGTATTTCTTTTTTTTATGAATAATTAGAAATAGTTTTATTTTTGTGATAACATCTTTAACAGTAGGTGGTAGATGTTTTTGGTAGGTTCTTGGTTAATATTGCATGCAAAAACATATCAGTATTGTTTAATTTACATTCATAATCCAAAGACTTGATAATAGGTAGAGGTATGCTATACATTCAAGTTGTGATGTCATTAAGGCCCTAATATTTTCATGTAAGGTTGAAGGATATTAGTGTGAAAACCAATTGAACCCAAAGAATCAACATTTCCTGTTTTGTTTAACTTGTAGTATTTTATGAAGTAAATAATTATAGAACAAAGATTTTAATAAAGTGGTAGCAAAATCTGATAGTTAATCAAGGTTTGGTGTATACCACATATATATATATATATATATCAGCTGTGCTGTTGAGTCTTGAATAGGTAAAACTGCAGTTCACAGCAGTGTGTGCACCAAATCAAGGATTGCGTTAGGTGTCTGTGTCACAGATTATATTTTGAAATTTACCTTTGGTGAAAAAAAAAAATGTATAATATAAAACAGATTTTTCTTTTGTAGTAAGTATTTTTTGTTTGGGTTATAAGTTTTTGCATAAGTTATGATAATAATGTGAAGTAAGAGTAATTATTTTATTTTTATATTTTAATCATGTTAAACATTTTCATTTTGTATTCTTCTATAGAGCTAACTGTCCCTGAGATACAACAGATTCTGGGAGATGCAGTGAACAATATTGTGAAGTATTTCTACAAGTCTGATAAAGAGGTAGATTTCATAATGCTATATAAATCTGCTTTACACTCGGCAACAGTTTAAATTTTCTGTGTACATTTGAAATATGAAAATGTGCTCTAAAAATACAATGAACTAACACCAGTGATGTAATTTTTTTCATGTAATAATGTAAACTCTCCTTGGTTAATTATTCAAAAGTTACTGAAAAATGCTAATGTTATTCTAAATTTTCTGTCTTTTCCTAAATTGTCCATTTGTTTAACTAAAGAAATAAGTGGGATATTGTGTTTATTATAGCTGGTTTCTTTGATTGGAGGACAAATATTGGTTATTTCTATAAGTTATGTGCATAACGTTGATAAGAGATACTTCAAGAAAATTTTGATCTTATTGTTTTTGTTTACTTCAGGTGAAACTCTAGAACTTTTAGGCCATATATTCACATTTCTTAAGGAGATCTGGACACTAAAACATATATTTACCATTTGAAAATCTTTTCTAATGTTACTAGTTGATTAACTACATAAAGGTTTAACTTTTGTATGCTGCTATAATGAACTGTACTGTAAAATGTATATCACCACATATAGATTAATATATGAAATAAGCATCTTATTTATACTAACTACATTGTTTTCAAGACTTTGACTGTTTTATGTGCACATGTAATCCTTGTGGTAAAAATCTCAAAAGCTTGTGGTTAGTTTTAAATTAAACCTAATGAAATTTTATTGCTAAACACAAACAAAATTTCATTATCAAAAAACTATTTTGCTTGTTTAAGAATTAATAGAACATTGTATGAAGAAATCAGTAGCAATTAGCTGTTATAACTATATCTTATCAAGTTTGAAATGATGAAATTGTATTACCTAAAACGTAACATATTTAATGTAAATCATTTCACATTGATATTTATGCACTACTTAGGTTTCATTACTTGTTATTATTTTGCTAATATAACAACTAATTTATTCTTTGTATTGTTAGAGAGGGAGTTTGACAATCTTGTTGTGTGGTGAATTGGGGTTAGTCTACTGTTTGGAGCAAGTTTTCCTTTACGGATTTAAAGCCACTCGATTCTTTAGACAAGTATATCTGTGGGACTTTTTTGGTAAGTTTATTTTCATAAGAACAAAAGAAACTAGCTGGGTTTATAAATGTTTTTAAGATTTTTACGGGATCAAAGAATAATGCTTGTTATTTTCTCTCTTTGTAAACTGTTTCAGTGAAAATCCGAGCATATTTTGGTAGCATACTGCAGGAAGAGCAGAGCACTGACAGTCCAGTACCTTGGGATTCTCTTGAACATGTCTTACTTATGAGATCATACTGCCAGCTGGTGGATAAGATTGATAATGTCTCACATTCTGTAGGAAAAGATGGAAAATTTCAAGTATTTATTTGTTTAGCAGCACGGTGAGTTGCTTTCATGAATGTTGATTGGTTATCATTTAATTCTATGAATCCCAAAACTTAGGTAACAGTTGCTACACTGTATTCAAAATTCAGTAAAAACATGTCATGTTTAGAGGATTAGATATTGATGGTCTTTGAGACAACTTACAATGCAGCCAGAAATGTGATAATCCACTTACATTTGTTTTATTAACCTCCACCCAGCATTTGGAGTAACACATTTGCAATTTAATATAAATTAATTGTGTAACAATTACAAATAATATTTAGTAGTAACAGAGGAATATATTTTCTTGTATGGACTTTATCTCTTTGTAGCAACTGTTAACTTTTCACATTTTCCAGTTCTTATTCTAGCCATATTCAAACTCTGACCTATGTATACAGTTGCATAAAAATGAACTGCTACAATTAATTAAATAAATACAAATTTACTGTGCTACTTTGTATCCTGACAAGTTACCACACATATAGCATAACAACTAGTGAGGTGAAGTGTACATCAAAAAGATGCAGAGAATTCTAGCATGCTGTAGAGGAATTGTGACATGATCAATGATTGGCCAGTGAGGCCTTGAGGCCTGTCCAGCTTATAATGTGTAGTAAACTCTACCATCATTGTCTCTTAACTCTGCCAGAATTGGAAAGTTATCAATGCATAGTTAGGCTTAACTTTTTGTGTGTTGTTGAGATAGATTTCGGCAATTAAACTAGGAAACACTAGTGGTTGTATAGCAAGGGACAAAAAGTTTTTACACAATTTGTAAGAAAGTCTGACAAGTAAAACAATAACATTTTGCTTATCTTCACTCTACCCAGCTCTGTAATAGGTACTAGCTAATAGCTGAGGTTTAACCTGGCATTCCATCCAGGTTATTGTTTTAAACATTCTTATCCACACACATCCCTTGTGTTTGTCTATCAATTCTCTGAAATTTTGGTCTTGGAAGGACTCGGAAATTATCAGTGTTCTTTGTTAATAATCAGTCGATTACTTACATAATACTGTTATAGGCTATATTTTTTTATGTTATAAATTACAAATTAGCTAGATGGTGCAGGACATTAAGGTCAAGTAACTATGTAAGAGTTGGCCTTCAATATTCTAAACTGATGTCACAAAAACCTAGAGGCTTTGTCAAATTGTCAAATATCTAAAACAAGGATTAGGTGATAAATATAAGTGAGCCAGTTAAATGGCTAAGTATGCTTGGAATAAAACAGGTCTACAAGAAGTTACAAAATGTATGAACCTGTAAAGAAACATTGAGGAGGAAATAGAATTAATTTGTTATTGTTACAGGGACTGGATGTTGAATTATTTTTAGCAGATAATTTGAAAGGACAACATTACAACAGTACTGTTTGATTCAGATAAATTGGTTTTATGATCTATAAATATAATGCTTAATTGAAATATTCTTAGTACTAAGATTCATACAAATATATGTAGCAGTTTGAATTAGTCGTGACAGTGTCTCTGAGCTCCATGTACTTGTACTGTACTATTTAGAGTTAATTCTATTCTTAAGACATTTCTTGAGAAAAAAAAATCCATTTCATTTTAGATTATTCTTATTACAAAGTGTGCATTTACCATTAGGAATCTTGGTTCACTCTGATATGATCAGTGTACTAATTTGTTGGGTTTTTGCTTGTCTAGCTGCAAATAATTAGTGTCTTATTAATGATTCATTGGGGTGTGGCCTAGTCTTAAGTGCTTGGGATTAGTAATTAAAAGGCTTCATGTTCAAAGCTCACTTGAGTCTAGTCGTTGCATCCTTGAGCAAAACACTTCACCAAAATTTGCTTCACTTTACCCAGCTCTGTAATAGGTACTAGCTAATAGCTGAGGTTTAACCTGGCATTCCATCCAGGATAATGTTTTAAACATTCTTATCCACACATATCCCTGGAAACTGGAGTAAGCACCATCTCTATGTGTGTTTAAAGACAGAGAGAGGATTTAAGTAACTAATGGTGCATTAACATTTATGTGATTCTGGTTAAAGACTACCCGCTGTGAATATCAAGTATAACTAACTTTTAAATCCTTTTTTTTGTGATTTTCTTTTGGATAAACAATTTTTTGTTGATTATTAGCAAAAATATATTCTCCCCAAAACCCTCTTGTGACTGATTCAATTCATTGTCATACTTCCTTCATCATTACTAACTCTTGGTGAGAGTACATGTGAAGAAATTAGCAAGAAAAACTTCTAAGAACATTAGCATGATATTAATTGTAATTCCAAGCTACTGTCCTGTTTTGTAGGTTTTGGTAGTGTATCATATCTGTCCTAAAGGCAGTTTGAACAATGTGAGTGATGGGCTTACTAATCTTGATGAATAGGAAGGATGACACAGTTGTTATTAAAGAGTTCTGTTCTTAGTGGTGTGATAGTGAAGTTCCTTTGAGAAGATCCTTGCTCATACTCTTGATGAAACAGGAATCAAATTGACAATCCTTTGTAGTGGTAATCAGGGCCAGATTAAGGTTAGTAAGGTCCTAGGTCCAGGTAACATTTGGGAATAATAATAATAATAATTCACTGTTGCCCCTATTCTGCTAGTTGTACAAACCATAATTTTTTTACTTGGGTGGCTGGTGGGACCTCTATGTTACTGGAAGTCTAGGACTGGGTAACCTATGTGTTAATCTAGCACTGGTAGTAATGATGTAGGAGGAATTAGATCTTTCTTTTAAAAAATAATATAATTTTTTTTTCAAAATGTTTGCAGGGCTTGAGCTTGAAACTTGCACACGTGTTCTGATCATCAATTTCCCCATATGGTGGTAAAATTGATCATATTTTATTGCTACATCATATTTCTGATCCACAATATGTAGTTGAGTACCGTTAAATCAGAGATCTTTGGTAGCTTGCAGTGCTATTGTTGCATAATTGCCTGTTTTGAATCCTACTGTCAAACACACTGATCTGCCAGACAATAGATAGGTATTCTTTGATAATAATTTCTTGTGACTGATGTTCAAGAAATGTTCTGACAACTCGCATAGAGTATCATTAAACTAATATTTCTACGTATTCAACTGTTGTGAGATGTTGTCTCGGTCACCATTACCACCTTGCTTAAATTCTGACCTGTTCTGATTTTTGAAAATGGTCACACAAAATGATACGTCTTCCACACCACTTTATGAGTACTTGAACCAAGAAAATATTCCAGTCAGGAACATGTTGATCCACCACTTTTTGCATTTTTAATGATGTATGATACAGTGAGTATAATTAAACTAGGAAATCTTGGAAGTGGTTCATACCAATGTCCCCTCTAATATTTTCAATCCATGTGCAACATAAATTTTTTCATGCGCATAAGTATCAAGGCAATGTGCAGATGTGCACTACCAGTTTTTGTTGGTGTGTGTGGGGGGGTATTTTTGGACCATCAACCCTATTGAATCATTAGGCCACTTTGCAATGCTACCAATTGGTTATTTGGGCTTTAGGCTTATTGACTGCCATGATCATTAAGGCTGTCAACACGTCGACTCCTCACCATTACTGAGAATATGCATTTCTGGAATAATTAAGTGTGTGGCATTTGATTGGTTGTTGTGTGGCTGTGCAACTTAAAGGGAACACTGGTTTATACCACTTACTCTGATAACTGCATTATGAACTGCAAGATCCATTCTGTATACTGAATAGTGCAGATGCTAATGTTTAGAAATTCTTCTTGCAATAATGTTACAATGCTGTTGTATTTTTACCAAACATGACAGCAATACTTTCACAAGCTGTTGCAACTGAGTGATCATTTAAGCGATTCTCAGAGAGTCCAAGAGAAGATACTCTAGTTAACAATGCATTTTTTATGCCTGAACAGTCATATCAGTCAGCCTATCAACTCAAAAAATTAGTTTCTACATTATTTCATGTCATTCAAAATCAAATGAACATACAAGATAAAAGTTGAAGCTTAACTGTGAGCGGTGGACTGGTCAGTTGTTATTCAGACTTACTGTTATGTTATGTAGCAGCTACCTTAGAAACGTGATAAACATTTCTAGTACAAAATACCTTCCATCTTCTAGCCATTCAAAATTTGAACATCCATTTCTTGTTTGAAAAATAAAAAACTCAACAGTTCAGCTTAGCTTGCTCATATGCTACTATGAAAACTTCACAGATAGTTTGAAAGTTGTTAGCTACCACTTTTGTATTGATTGCTATGAGTGTTTTTTTTTGGGGGGGGCGATTTCATGCACAGCGTTGTTTCTAGTGGAATCTATATTTGTATGTAGCCATATTTGTGTGTGTGTGTGTTACCATAGCAGCAAATGTTGAATTTTCACCACTGCATGTAAACTTTCATGTTATTGCTTTTGTCCACTCCTGACATGCAACACTTAAGTATTTTTTTAACAGTATTCATGTTTCTGTTGTCAAGAACACCACTATGCCAAATCACAATTTTCAGAATTTCCGACAGTGACAATATGGTGTATTTTGAACTTGAGGCTGAGTCAGTTTGTGTATTAGTTGTATACTTACATTAAGAATAATACAGATACATACGAGGCACAGAACAGGGTTTTAATACTGTATTGTCCATTTAAATGCTGAACATGTCCCTGATTTTCAATCAGAATTGGACGAATTAAGAGTAGTGTAGATAAAATAACATCTGCATTTAATGATTTTTTCCACAAAAGTTAAGCCTATTAGTTTTTAATACCTTGCCATCTTCCAGTATTTTATACAGTAACTTTTACTTAAAGTATTATACTGCATATATAAACAGCATTCATAGACATTTTTGTCTCTTATTATCCAGCCCAACTGGATATTACTTGTTTAAAATATTAAGCAGTGAAATACATACTCAAAGAAAATGTTTGTTTGGCCCTAATCTTATTTCAATATTTTATTTTTTTTAATATAAAATCTCACTTCATGATTTGTTGATTCATATAGAGAATACTATTTGGGTAATGACTTTTAGCTAAAGAATTAGCTACACCTTTGCTGATAGGATTTCTATAAAGTCAAGCCTGTAAATTAATACTTCTCTGTAGAATAATATAGCACTACATTCTAGATATTGTACTTTACATTTCTAATTATATGTTTATAAATTTGTTTCCTTGTGCCATGAAGTTAGTGCTGAAACTCTCCTGTAAAACAAAAAAAAGCACTGGGTCTATGATCTGGTGTAAATTTACCCCTGCTTACCATACATTTTGATGTGACATTGTACTTACAGAGATCACCTCCTTCATCGGATGCTGTTGCATATTGCTTCTAGTCCAATTACTTCTAGCATGTACGAGGAACAGTCATTCTTGCGGGATCCGACCTTAGTCACCTTTCTGGTACAGATCTTGGAGAGCTTGTCAGAGTTCACCATTTCTTTGGAATCCTCTCTCACTAAAGGTGTAGAGAGTTGATATCACTTTGGCTGAAAGTTTTATATTATTTCCCACTAGCTTAACACTAAAATTTCTTCCTGTTTTATACTAGCTATGCTAATTCTGCATTAATTAGTAGATAAACAATAGGAAAGAAGGTGATTTGCTACTTTTTATTATGTGAAAAACCTTCTGTTTGTCATTTACAACTCATGTCAAACTATTCTTGTACAAAAAAGGTCCACCTGTACATAAATATCATCACTTATTTAGAAATCATAAACATTACCATAAATACTCAGTCCTTTTATACTAACCTATTTGATTACAAATCAAATACTGAACATTAAAATTTCCATTAGAAGGCATATTTTTTGTTTGTTATTTAATGCTAGTTTGCAATCAATTAATTCTGTATTTGCAGATACGTCTATGTCGTAACAATAAAATGAAATACGTTGGTGGTATGATGTAACAAACGTCAATGTTTAAAAACTATATGAAAGAGCAAAATTAATCATTATGCAAAGGCCTGTGAAGAAAATTAGGAAACAATTTGACACACTGGTATTTTTTGTAGTGAAATCATTTATCAGTATAGTACAAGTAGAAAGGTAGTTTAATGTTGTGGTGGTTTTACATCACTTTTGTCACTTGTTAATCCAGAATTTGTTTATTGTATACTAAAGGTGCATAGTGTTGAAACAAAACAAAAATGGGTACATTTTCAAAGGCAGAACTGGAACTTAAAAAATATAAGTATGTGAGAAAACAAACTAAGCTAATTGATAACCAATATACTAAGAGATACCTATTCTAACTTATCACTTGCTTTTTTCATGGTTTTAATTTTTTTTATCACTTTGTAAACAAACTTCTATCTTATAAACTCCTCAGTGGTATTTTGATAGCTTTTTCTGCACATGTGTCAAATTATGGATGCATATTTTGTCTTTACAGTTTTGGAAATGTTTGATTTTTGTTTTGTTTCCTAATTTGGAAACATCATCTTTCATAATTGAATTGAACAAAAATTTTCCACTGTGTGAAAAAAATATATGGCAATATTTATGAATGAAAAATAAGTCAACTTTTTTTTTCTTTTTAGTTAGCTTATTAAAGTACTTAATTCTTTCTCATTGTTGTTTGTAGTTCTGTTTCCAAAATATTTAGGAAAAGATTCTATTATTGACTTTGTTCTTTGATCCAGAACTAGAAGGTACTAACCATTAAAGTTAGGTGTATATAGTTTGTAAAGAAAAGTGTGAAATTTTTATTTTATTATAATGTTTTCTTTTTGTATATGGTCATTAAATTTTGTCAAAACTTATGTCTATGATTTAAATCTTGTATTTCAGAATGGAGGTTTGACATACATAAATTCCTCTGAGTACTTGTAGTATGGTTTAGTTTTTGTAGAACAAGCATGTTGTGTATAACAGTACAAATTGTTTTCTGTTTGTTGCACTGACAACTTAAATGTTATTGAAGTTTTGTTACAATTTTTTAAAAATGAGGAGAACTTCAGATTTTTTTTTCCTCGTGGAAGAATGATCTCTTGGTTGTATGTCTGTCCATTTCAAATGTATTCATACTGACAATGTTTATATCGAAAGTGAATTGTGTGTGTGTGTATATATAGACACACATGTATATATATATATATACCTGCTTACCATATTTATTGTAGTATTATATTTGATTTCTTGCATTCAGTCCATGTATGTAGTAGTTAGAATAATTTTTGAATCAAGATATTATTTGAATTACACCGAAGATTGTCAGAGCTCATCAGAAAAACGTGGTTGTGCAATATTAACTTTCAATATTTGTTATATCCTATGGGATTAATAGTATCGTTGTTGAGCTAATTACATTATTAAGACAATTTTACAAAATATTACTTTATTTTATTGGAAACTAGAAAGTACCAACTTGCTCATTAAACACAATCCAACTCCTCAAGAAAAGTAGTTTACAAAGCACAACGTTGATATTCTAGGTTATTTATGCTGTTAAGAAAACCACAAAGAAAAATAGCCAGCATGTGAAATCTGAAACATAATTTTTGTATTTTTTAACATTTTGTTTTTTTTATGATACAAATTATGTTCAAGAATTTTGCCTTCAAAATATATATTTTACTTTCAAACTACTAATTATACATTATGATGAGATTGAGTGTAGTAACCTAAGCATGATTTTACTTTTTTACTGGTTTGTTGATAGTTGACATCAACTAAATGCACATGATTTTAGGTGTGTACAATTTTAACAGTGAAGTTGTAATTGAGTTTAAGCTTTATAAGCTTTGTCTATTTACATTCCAGACAAGTTCGTCTTATACAGTATTTTAATATAATGTTTATTTTATATATATATAATATATAATGCTTTTTTGTTCTGTAGTAGCGTAGCTCTAGTAGAATTTGATTATTTCGCGTTTTGTATAAATACATCTGTGTTTGGTTAAGTCAGTGTGAACTATTTAGAAATATATATATTCCGACTACTGCACCTTAGAAGGTTTGATGTAATTTATTTTGAACAAGTGTGCCCTAAATAGTTATTCCGTCTCTTTGAATGTACTGTCAGTTATTTCGAGAACAATCAACTTGTATGTAACCGTGTATACTTTTGCTGTAAAATATGTATCACATTCGATAAAAACACTTTCCTCACACTTGTGCCAACATATAGTGTTTCTTATCAGTTATACAAACAGATATGTACTCACCTTTCAATCTATCAATATTTGGTTTGATTTCAGAAGAAATTATCTGTTCATCATTATGAGTGTTGATATATGCTGATAGGTGAACTTTGATTTGAGAGAGACTAATGGCCTATATAAATAGTGTTTCGACCATACTGTGTTTGTTGTGTTCCACCTGGCCTTATGAGCTCTGTATTACTCTGTTGAGCGAAAAGCCTCTTCGGAAATGAATATGGCGGACATAGTGTGTTTCAGATACTAATATACACACATTTCTTCTTGAAAAACCCTAAGTGACTGATTAAAGAAAGTAGTGTCAAAAATATGATAGGCCTAATACTAATGTCATTCGATAAGTATAGTTAAAGCTGAATAAACTTTAAAAGCGCTTTTGAAAGTCTGGGTGTACTGAAATATTAAAATTAGTCTTACAATATTATTCAGTTACCAAGAGGCTGGCACACTAGCGTTCAACTCTTAATATGAACAATACAAACTCGTCTACAATAAATGATTTGTTATGGTTTTATAAAAACGTAGTCCTACTATACTATAGTGATATTTATAGTACTAGGACTACTGGTTGGTTTCAATATTTGTTACATTTTATATTCAATATGTTGTTACTCTAAATTTTTGGCCTTTTTTCAACGTATTTACCATATCTACTGTCAGATGTAAACATGGAAGAACACTTGTTTACATCAGCTGCTGGTATCTCACTTCTTATTGAAATAATGTCTAACCCTAACGTTGGATTGGCGCTTGTTGATTGTTTTTACATGTAGTTACTTTCTTCATTTCCACATAAATCATTTTAATAACTTAATATGGCAGTATCCACTAGAAAATTCATACGCAAGTTATCAAATTTGTTTTTGCTGTCTTTTCAGAACTTATATGAACAATTTAATTGCTCGACACTTAAAGAACTTATTAAACAAAACATGACCATATTACACTTGTAGTAACCATATGAATTATGGTTTTACAATATCGTGTTATTAAACTAGTAGTTGCTTGTTTAAATCAAATAATTGCATTTGTTAGACTGCTAGGTTGTATAATTATTAGGATGTAGAGGTGAAACTCTAAACAAAGCTATAAAAAATGTTTCTTCCATAAGCACCAAATTCATATAGGATCGTATCATCCGTAGGTCAGGATAAATAGTGACAGAAATTGTATTGTTATTCATTTGAACTAATACGTCTGATTTTTCAGTTTTCATAAATCATATTAATTTCCGATCACAGGAAGCTATGTATTTGGAGTGAAACTAAAAATCAACCGCGCAATCATTATTTCTAATTAAATATATTTTCCATAGTGTGACTTATATTCGCGAAGTGAATTTTTAAAAGCCATTTGTGGTTTTTCTGCGTGTATCGATTTACCAGTAAAAAAAAAAAAAAGGCGTCGATTGCAAGTAGTTAATAATGTCATTACAAAACATTTTGTTAAGAATAAGCAACTAAACCGGTGGTATACAAAACTTCGTATCAAAATTAACACTTCGCAACTGCAAGAATTCAGAACTATATCATTAAATGGAGCTGCAACGATGTGCCATCAACTTTGAAATTTCTTTGTATATTAAAAACAACGTTTTAGCACATACAGTTCCCTTTAATCGTTTTTAATTATGCCGATCATGACTTCTTAGATAACTGCCTTCTGAATATTCCCTTTCTTTAAATATGGCATATCACTCATCATTTATACACCTTTTGTTTTGTAACTACTTCTTATATAATTGAAGTTTCTCATAGAAAGTTTTTTTTAAACCATCTATATAAAACAAACGAAACTATTCCAGCGCAGTAAGGTAAGACAGTTATTTATCAAACTTTCTTGACATGTTTTAACTTTAAAAGCAACTACTCATTCTCGCTGCTTAGAATGCAAACATTGAGGTTTTGTGTACTGAAAGTGAAGTCAGGTTGTTTCCATAGAATATTAGTATATTTAACGACTTATTTGGCTAAGGCAAAACTCACAACACAGTTTTGCAGGACAGACATCCGAAAACAGACTCAAATATTTTTCGTTTTGTTTTTTTAACGCAGTGGTAACAGATAGGCATCTTAAATAGAACGTAATAACCATAAATTATTTTTCTTTACAAACTCAAATGCAAAAGAAACCTCGTAATTTACAGGTTGTGCCATTTTTCTCCAAATTTATAAATTGGCCACGAACTCTTCGGCTCGTTTAAAAACCTGATTAAGGGTTCATTAAGTATGCTCGCACACCAGAGATTTACAATTATAAAACACAGACATGTAATTACTAGCATGTCACTAAGTCTTTAGAACAGACCAGAGATTTTTTTCCCCACAAAAGAGTACCTCGATATTTCATCATCATAAAAAAAAAATGTCATTAACAGGGATCAACTGTAAACGTAGCTATTAGAAGAGTTAGTTTCTGTACCCTAAGGCTAGAGAATTAGTGATTATTACTACTCGTGATTAATGTGTTATCCCCACTGCTATTGCTACAGTTATTACGCGAACATATTTCATACATTGCTCTGTGAAGACATGATGACAAATCGTCAAAATCCACCTAATTCCTAAGAGCAAATTCACAAGGTGACAAACAGTGGAGTGTTATAACAGAAAACGTTTCATCTACATGAATTGATACGAGTTTTTTGTTGTTGTTGTAAAAAATACTCTGTAAAATTTCATAATTAATGATGATAAAGGGAAGTTTCGATCTCTGTTTTTTGTGGTTTATTTCTGGGATGTGAGAGATCTACCAGAAACAACTATAACGTAGAATTAATATGAGAGCTTCATTATGATTTTCTAAGCAACTGTTTAAGTGTTTCCTGATGGTTAGTATTTTATTTACTGGGACTGGACGTAACCTAGTGTTAGCATACCTATACTGCGAATATAAGGATTCATGGTTCGAGTCCTCTTGCCTCAAAAACACGCCCCGCACTTCGTGGCCGCGAATGTGCTTTAAGAGTGACGATTATATCCAATCATTCGGTCAGACAAGAGTAGCCGTCGAGTTGGCAGAGGGTGCTGCTGTTGACTAACTAGCTGCATTCCGTCTAAGTCAGTTCATTCTAAATTAGGGGAGACTATTTGCAGATAAGTCTTTGTATAGCTTTGCGCGAAAATTCTAGAACAAGATAACATATTACATGTAATTTTATAATGATAAGAGAGTTTAACTCTAATACATACTAAAAGTTAAAGGCTACAGTTAATATAAAAACGTTGATGACTTTGCATCCACTTCTGTGTTGGTAAGTAGAAGGCAGAGCTCAGTTTCAGTCTTCAAAACACCACAATTTTAAGGACACAACTGCAGGCTTGTGTGCAGAATGTTTGAAAGGGGGTTTCTAATTTGTGACATTAAAGGCCAACATATATTGTCCAAAGCATAGTCAGTATGCTAATGGGGTCTACGGGTATGTCCCCCAGAAGATTAGTACAAAAAAATAGGTGTTATGAGATTAAATTTGGAAGAAGTTTTGCATGAAATATAGCTTAAACAATTGCATGGCTGTTCACATAAAATCCACAAACATCCAATGAAAAGTCAACAAATCATCCTTCTGTTGTAACACTGTATGATGAGCTAGATTTAAATTAGCATAAATATGTATGTTTTATTATAGTAAAGTACTGTACTATATGCATGCAGAGTAATTATTAAATTATGTTACTAATTTAAATAACACCGTAAATTATAGTATATTAGCTATTTCAATCATTGGCTATCATATACGTACATGTATGCGCTACTGAAATAACATGTTAGCATGCTTTATTCTTCTGGGGTACTTTTCCTTAAGTACGTACAGTTTCAATATTGATATCAATGTCATAATGATCATGTGTTAAAGCTAGAGCACTCGGTCCTTAGGTTTGTGTTCACCTCGGGTAATTATGTTCACATGAATTTTGTGGCAGAGTTTCAGTAACATAAAGATATTTGGTACAGTATATTACGTGGAATGTTCTAGACTTCTGTCGGGGTATAAATACGCATCGAAAGATGATTATTTAGATCAAACTGCGTGATTGTGAGTTTAGCAATAAAGAGTGTATAATGGCGATTTTTAAAGTGAAATTATCGCAGACTGTATTGTAATAACACAGCAGAGAATAATAATTCGTTTTGTCAACTGTGTTATAAAGTAATTGAACCAGACTGTGTGGATTGTGGCACAGCGGTATGTCTGCGGATTTACAACGCTAGAATCCTGGTTTCGATACCCGTGGTGGGCAGAGCACAGATATCCCATTGTGTAGCTTTGTGCTTAATTACAAACAAACTGACAGTACAGGCCCCCCAGTGGCACAGCAGTATGTCTGCGGACTTACAACGCTAGAATCCTGGTTTCGATACCCGTGGTGGGCAGAGCACAGATATCCCATTGTGTAGCTTTGTGCTTAATTACAAACAAACTGACAGTACAGGCCCCCCAGTGGCACAGCAGTATGTCTGCGGACTTACAACGCTAGAATCCTGGTTTCGATACCCGTGGTGGGCAGAGCACAGATATCCCATTGTGTAGCTTTGTGCTTAATTACAAACAAACTGACAGTACAGAAGCCCAGAACCGCAAGGTGAAAAATATTGGAAGTCTCCTCTTGTACGTAGGAGATAAAAACACAGTGATGACGTATCCCTTTAGCGTTGCTACTTGACAGTGTATGATACTTACCATTCCCATGTGTGACGGTTTGAGATAAGTATTGCCATTACTATTCTAAATTATAGGTTCTTCAATAACGAACGCAAAACACAACAAAGTTATATGTGTATTTTATGATTTATATGTATGTTTTACGTACTCATATGTATGACTTATTATCTCGTACGTAAGAGATGAGACCTTCAATTTTTTTTTCGCCTTCCAGTTCAGGAATTACGTGATGTTCTTCACGGGTGACGTGGCATATCTTTATACTCTTGAAAAACTGTCACAAAAGACA